TTGGTGTTCTTCACCCATAATTTTATTAATATCATAAAAAAATGTTTCCTATTAGTTTTAATATTAATCGGCTGGATAATTTAGTTGTAAACTATCGTGGGTTTTCCGCTCAATTTTAACGGTGCACAGTGTCGATTATGTATGCACATATATAGAAGAGGAAAGGATAGAAATTGTTTAAATAATAAACTACAAATAGTTTCAATTAAAGATTTGATAATAAATATTTATTATCAATTTTTAATTAAAAATAATTGTTTAAATTATACTTCGTTCGTTTTATTAAATATGTCATTTATTAATTTTTATCATTCTTTTAAGTTTAGTTCATTATTATTTAAAAATATTAATTTTTTATATACATTTTATAAAATTTAATTATTTGAAATATTTAAAATAATTATGATCAAAAGTTAAAAATATTGACTTTTAAAAAGTCAATAAGAGACACATTTAGTGGGACATAGAGAGTATTTTTTTTAGGTGTTTAATTTTTTTTTTAAAAATAGGTGTTTGATGTTTACTTTAATACCATTTAAAGTATCTTATTGTGAACAACTATTAAAAACAATTCATTATCTAATCAATGTTTGACATGTAATATATTTTAAATTTATTTTAAGAAAATGTATAAAATCATTACTTTAAAAAAATGATTAAAATCATTAAATTCCCTAAATCCATAATCTTATATGACATCAATGAGTTAGCCATCGCTTCTATCGTCGGACTCCTATCAGTTAGTTACTCTATTATTGACCACATAAATGTCCAAAATATAATATTTAGGGGTGTCATAACGGATACTTCCTTCAATAAATCTTACATTGCTCTTATTCCTAAGAAATCGGGGGCAGATTGTTTAAAAGATTCCAGGCCGATATCCTTGGTCAGCAGTTTGTATAAAATCCTAGCCAGGGTGTTATCGAGGAGATTGGCAGCGGTAATCAATGAAGTGGTGGGCGAGAATTGATTTGCGTTCATTACTGGGAAACAGATCGTTGATTGTTCCTTAATGGCAAATGAAGTTATTGACGACTTGCGGCAGCGAAAGAAAGAAGCTATAATTTTTAAAGACGATTTTAGCAAGGCTTCCGACGCGGTTGATTGGACTTTCCTGAATCTACTGTTGAAGAAGATGGGGTTTAAAAAATGGAGGAAATGGGTCAATCTGTGTATTTCTACCCGTCGATTGCGGTTTTAGTTATTGAGTCTCAGTCTGATAGTTTCAACATAAAGAAGGGGTTAAGGCAAGCCTGCCTGCTTTCTTCTTCGCCGTTCAACATTGTTGGCGAAGCATTAAGCGGCTTACTTAACAAAGCTAATGACCTAGGCTTTATAAAAGGTGTGCAGGTGAGTAACAATGACTTCTCTCTATCCTATATTCAATTCGCAGACGATTTAATGGTGTTCTCCGATGCAAACATCGAAAAGGTATGTAATGTGAAAAGAATTCTCACAATATTTGAGGATGCTGCTGGTTTGAAATTGAATTTGAAAAAGACCAAAATTTACGGAGTTAACGTAGATTCAAGTTGGTAGCGAGTTGGGCGGACAATATTCGTTGCTGCTGGGATTCCCTCCCAACGACTTATCTCGGGCTTCCTTTAGGTCAAAAAAGAAATTCCAAAGTGTTCTGGCAGCCCATCGTAGTCAAGATTCAATATCGGCTTGATGGATGGAAAGCTAAGTGTCTTTCAATGGGAGGATGCATTACTTTGGTCCGGACCGTGTTATTTAATCTTCCATTTTACTTCTTATCTCTGTTTAAAATGCCAGATATAGTAGCGAAAAAAATTTACAGCATCATTGCGAGGTTTGTTTGGGGCGAAAAGGAAAAGAGGAAAATTCACTGGATCAGCTGGGAATCAATGTGTAAACCTAGACTAAATGGGGGGCTGGTATTTTCCGATTTGAGAATTTAGAATCGGTCGTTGCTTAATAAATGGATTCGGAGATTTGCGAGTGAAGAGGACTGTCTATGGAGAAAGGTGATTGTCGCGAAATATGGGTGCGATCATGCTTCGTTATTGCCAAAATCTGGTAACAGGAAGAAATTATCTAGGCTTTGGTGTAATATTATTGACCCGCTGCTCAAGGAAGTGGATCCCTTTTTTGCAAATTGCCGTTGTTTGTTAGGGGATGGGCGAAAAATAGACTTCTGGGATGATTTTTGGAGGGTGGTTCCATCCCTAAAACTAGCTTTTCCCAGAATTTTGGGGATTGCTATCCGTAATGCTGGTAAAGTGAGTGACTTTGGTTCTCAGATAAATGGGAAATGGGTTTGGAATATTCAAGTTAGAAGGCCATTTTTTTGTTTGGTAGTTAAGAATTTGGGATGATTTTGTGAATTTGATTAATAGAGCTCAGTATAACGAATCATGAGGGAATTGCTTAAATGGTTGGGTTCGTCTGACGGACACAAAATCCTTTTGTATGAGTGTTACTGCAGCGAGATCACATGACGAGAGCATTTGGAAATCCATTTGGGCGAATCTTGCTCCACCAAAAGTCGAAGCTTTCCTGTGGCAAGCAACGCTACAGAGAATTCCTACTCGCATGGAACTATTGAAGCGTGGAATGTTTTGTTTGGATTCAAATCTTTGTGTGGTTTGCAACAATTCACCGGAACAGATAAATCATCTCCTTTGTCATTGTGAACGTGTGTGGATAGTATGGCAGCGCTGGTGTTTACTGTAGAAGGTTGTCCTGATTTTTCCAGCAGATGTGAAAGCCTTACTAGGATGTTGGACTACTCAACAAGTGTGCAAAAGGTTGTTGCCAGTTTGGTTGTTGAGCTTTTTCGGATTCTTGTGGACGGTATGGACTTGCAGAAATGAAGCCATATTCAAAGGAACCCCATGTACTGAAGAGAGAATTTTTGAATTGGCATTGTAAAGAATTGGAGTGTGGGCAAATTGTATGTGGCCGGAGTTAGTGCCTTCTGTTCTGGATTTTATTCGTAGCCCCAGAGATTTCATTGAACTTTAAGAGAAAGTTGTTTAGTACGTCGAGCCGAGCGTGTTCATGGATGTACTTTATGGTAGCAGATTTTGTGTCATTGTTCTCTATTTCGTGCACATTGGCTCCTGTTTTGTTCAGCACCGTGTGGAGTTGAAGACGGAGTGTGCTATTGCATTTTTTTATTTCGGGTGGGATTAGAGTACACTTGGGCAGATCATTTAAAATGTTTCTTTGCGTGTTGTTTGGGGAGGTCGCTTAAAGCGTTTATGTTATTCCATATCGGTCACGAAGCCCCTAGTTCTCTCATCTCTTTGGGTTTAGTTGCTGGAGGTCAATGGCTTAGTTTTCAGAGACTGATGCTTCTGGAATGTTGTTTGGTTTTGGTTCTTTGGATGCGTTACTTTGCAACAAAGTGTGTCTGAGCTAGTTCCTGGTTTTATGGTTTTGCATTTGTAGGATAGCAATAATTTAAGGTGTTAGTGCTATGTGCAGTGTAGTTGTGTCGTTGGGTTCTATTTAGTGGTTTCGTTCATTGAACTTGATGCTGTGTTTTGACATAAGAAGGTGCACTCTTTTTCCTTCATTAGGTTTTAGGAAGGTTTTTTAACGATGTTCTTTCTTTTATCCAGTTTTCACTATAGTAAAACAGGTTTTTAGCGGTGTTTTCCAGTCATATATCGACATTTTTAAGCGCCGTAAAAAACCCTTCTGGCGTAAAAAAAAAAGGCCACTAATTTTTGCGGCGTTACTAAAGGTTATGCTTTTTTGTTACGTTTTTTATAAACGTCACTAAAGGTTATGATCTTTAGCGGCGTTTTTAAAAAAGGCCGCTTTATCTTTTCCTTAGTGGCGTTTGTTATAGAAAAATGCCGCTAAATGTCTTACATATAGTGGTGTTTTAAAATAAACGCCACTATTGACTATATATATAGTGTTTTTTGTATAAGCGCCACAAAAGATCTTGAACTTTAGTGACGTTTTGTTCTACAAACGTTGGTATTGACCATATATTTAGTGGTGTTTAATTATACAAATGCCGCTAATTAAAATTGATTTTTCAAATACTATTTTCTACTCATTGTTTCTCAAACACGAGGGAGGGAGAGGGGACACTGAACACGATCACAATATAGAAGAAGCACATAAATCTAATGTAAGAAAAGTAGAAACTTCTCAAGTTTCAACATTAGCATTAAATAGAAATGTAATTATGACAGAATAAGCAAAAAGAGGAACAGAGAAGGTCAGAACCTCCACAGTTAGTGCTTGTGTTTCTCTGTCTTCTGCAATATTAAAGAGGATTGTTACTTTAGGAGGACCGGAGTGTTGCCTCGGCTTGGCCGACGAACGCGGATAAGAGAGTCGTTTTTGCAGTCTCGTGTTTGCTTAGTAAGCTCGCCTCGATTTGTTCCTTTGATTGCAGGCTATCATCCCAGTCTTCCCCCCCCCCCCCAAATCTGTTTAAACATTCAAAATCAATTGAACTCAGTAACAACTGGCATTTTCCGCCTAGAAAACTAAACGGTTTGATGATCACATAACAGAAATCACTCCAAAAGGCCATGTTACATGCCGTATATAAAAGACCCAAATTCAAAGAAAAACTCAAACCGACTTTGCAGCAGCCAGCTTCTACATCTCATTTTCCAGGATATAAGCCTAGACTACTAACACTATTATCGATTCAAGCGATGAATACCACAATATATCGAATTTACCTGTAAGTTCACAAGCTCTTTTGCATGTTTCTGCAGAAGTTGCCTCTGAAGAACCTGATTTTCTTCCGTCATCCGGATTCTCCTCGTCCGAATCTGACACTGCACACAAGAAAGAGTTTGCATACACCGAAGGCTACTCGTTGCTTGCCGTTTCACCAGAGACCCTTCCATCAACGATTTCAGCCTCACCAGTCCTCTTAAATCACGCAATGCCCTTTTTGCCTTTAAAAGAATAAACCACATATGATCAGTGAATCTATTGCTTAAATCTCAGTTTTAATTGTGGAGAAAACTAGCAAAAAATTTGTAGTAACATTACCATGTAAACTCAAAAAGCTGTCTGAATTTTGATTGCTGCCACTTCCTCCACAGATTTTCCAGCAAACTAAGAACCTCTATTAAGCTGGCGTCGAACAACCACAACAGCAGCCTGAGTTGGAGCAGCGGGAGCGACAACCTCATCAGTAGCTGCAGCAACCGTCTCGGATTCGATTAATCTCTCTTCTTCTGGCTGAGGTGGAGGGGACAGATCAACAGGTTCTAAACTGTCTGCATTAGAACTAGGACCCAAGTGCAATTGCTTCTCCAAATTCTGCTCTTTCTGATGTACGAAAAAAGGGGTCAAAGATTTATTTTGTTCCCTCAACCATGCTCAAAATTCGATATTTAGTCATTGTACTTTAATTTGATATAATTTGATCATTTATTTGTCTAACATCATTAGTTAGTCCATATAGTTAACATTATTCTATTTTAGTTACAATATTAGAGTGGATTTTCTCTCTCTTAAAAACAACTTTTTTAAACTAATCTGCTAACATTATTTTTTTCGCTTGAAATGTTCACAATAGCATTTTAACAGAAAAAGTAAACAGTGTTAAATATTTGGATTGATCCAAATATGCTAACAGCCTTCCATGGACTAAATTCCAAATTTGAGTATAGAAGAAGGACCATAACCATAATTTGACAAAGAAAGCATAGAAAATAAGAACATGTGAGCTAAGCAGAAATTAAACATGAAATTTGAGCTGAATTGGAATTCTCCAAACCTGGCTTTTCTTTTCCTTTGAATCTGGGTGTAAGGCTTTCTTTAGAGAAGATAACCATTTTGCTTTCTTCCCCATCTTTTATTTTCTTGATATTATCCTTTAAAAGGAATTAACACAATCTAAATAAGTTGCAATTTAAATATGATTAACGCAGGTTAAAGTGGATTTTCCCCCAGTTCAGCTATCAGAATTTTCTCATCAAGCAAACAAAGGACAAGAACATAAAACTCCAATCTCCACAATATATTTGTAAGTTTGAACAAATTGAAAAACAAACTAATAAAGAAAAGCTTAGAAAAATCAAAATGTTCAGTAGTGAGAGAAGGGAACAAACCTTGGAATCGTGTTATAGTGGCGAAGAGGAAAATAATCTAACAATCTCTCACCGGTGAGAGGACCGATCTAGTCGCTGGGAGGGACAGAATGCAAGAAAACCAAATAATGACGAGAGATTATAAATGTCTGCGAGATAATGGCAACAAGGACGGCGTGTGGCGGAGATAAATAAGGCTTTTGGCGTGATGATGGTGATTGGTGCGCTGAGTTGGAGAAGATGTTGTACCAGAGAAGAATTTTTAAAGAAGAGGTTCAAAAGATTTTAGGGATCGGGCAAGAGAAAGGGTGGAGATATATTTATCCTTTGGTGGTGTTTTGAGAAAAACGCCACTAATGTACGCATTTTTTAGACGTTTTTATAACAAACGCCACTATTTACGCGTCTATTGTAGCATGTGTATGAAAAACGCCACTATTGTACAATTCTATCACGGTGTTCCATTAAAAACGCCACCTATTATCCTTCTATAGAAGTGTTTTTTCTAAAACGCCACTAAAGTATGCATTTATAGCGGCGTTTTTACACAAACACCACTATATATTGGGCTATCGCGACATTTTTTACATAAACGCCACTAAAGTATGTATTTTTAGCGGCATTTTCACGAAAATGCCACTATATATATGGCTATAGCAGTGTTTTTTTACATAAATACCACTAAAGTACGCATTTTTAGCGGCGTTTGCACAAAAACACCACTATATATTTGGCTATAGTGGAATTTTTTACATAAACGCCACTAAAGTACACATTTTTAGTGGCGTTGTCACAAAAACGCCTCTATATATCTGGCTATAGCAGCATTTTTTACATAAACTCCACTAAAGTACGCGTTTGTAGCGACATTTTCCCAAAAATGCCACTATATATTAGTATATCGCGACGTTTCTCTAAAAACGACGCTATATGTACAAAAATTAACAGCTTTTTCTCTAAAAACGTCACTAAAACCATTGCCACATATATGTTTTGTTGTAGAGTTTGTATGTTTCCTTCTTTCGAATGCACACAAAACTTCTAGTTTTAAAAAATAACAATAATATTTAGTCGTTAATTTTGTGCACGAGCTATCGTCAATTTATCATTATCAATGAGATTATATCGTCGCTCGAACTAAAATTGTATTGCTCAAATCTCTACTCATTGTCTAATCTTCAAGCATTTAGGGGATTTGGGATATATGGATTTAGGAATTTGAGTATTTTGAGAAATTAAAAAGTTAAGGTTTTCTCTAGAAATTTAGGGTACGTTTGGTTCAAGGAATGTAAGATTATCTTTGAGAATAACATTATTGGAATGTTGCATTACCTTGTTTGGTTTGTTTAGCAGAAATGTAAAATTACAGTGTTTGGTTGGAGGAATATACGATTACTTGACTGTATATTTTAGCAATTTATCCTTGTGATATATGTTTTCCAAAAAAGTTAAACTTTAATATTAAATGATAAACATTTTAATGAAAATTCATAGAAATATTTTAATTGTTATATTTTCTAACTTCTGAGAAAAATATATTTAATATATAATAAAATATTAAACTTATATTTTTATATAATTTTCACAAGCCTCATATACATTTATATAAAATATAATATAATATAAAAATATATTATTATGATCTCGAGTTGATAAAGATATTATTTTTTAATATATAAGATTTATTTTTAATAACTTAAGGTTAGAGATTATTTTAAATAATTATACTTTTACAGTCATATTATTTTTACCTCATAAAATTATAAATAATTAATATATTGAACATTAAAAATATAATAGAATTTAAAATATTAATATTTATTAATATTTTACTAGATTAAACTCTTTGTATATTATTATTATATTTTATAATTTCGAGTAATGTACAAAAACATGAAAATTATCATTATAAAAAGAATTCATTAATCTAGTAGTATTCTTGTCCAAAGTGGTAGGAATTGTCTAATACCTAAGAATTTGGAGGTGACATTCCTACTATTTTAACAAAAAAAAATACTATTATTGGGAAAAGATTATTCCCTGATAATAATCTTTTTCGTGAACCAAACGTGGGAATGCAATTCCGAAAAAAGATTATTCCCTTTGGTAATATTCTTTTCCACGAATCAAACACCCCCTTAATATTTTTCATTTTTGAAAAATTAATATTGATGAAAAATTAATTTCTTGTGTCAAACAATTATTAGTTGACAATTTTTTTAATGCTCGTACATGAAATTATCTTAAAATAATATCATAATGAAATTTTAGACAACTTAAATAATAATGGAATAAACTTTAGACATTTACTTTAATAAAAATATGAAATACCTAGAGTAAACGAGAGCTATAATTTCTTTAGCACAACAGTTGTTTTATTAATATTAAAAATATCACTTGAAAGTTGTCGACACTCATTTCCGTCCAACCCCATTATATAATATGTTATCTATATTATATAATATAAACATTTTTTATTATTATATATACGCATATTATATTACATTATACATATTATTATTATTATTATAATGTTTTTATTGGCTTGGTTTTCTGACAGGCCCAAGACCAACACTCAAACCCAATCTAGTACAAACTGCCCAACCCAGTTACAAGCTCACTATGAGGCCAACCTAAACTCAGAAGCCCAACAGCTGACCCGAGGACCCGGTAACCCGACCCGAATCAACCCACAAGTAAACTAGATTAGGGTTTTACCTTAAATTGTTTCCAGCGCCGCCAACAAGGAGATCATAACAGCCCATCAACACGTGAGATGCACGCGCCCCTCCAAACCGGCATGTGAGTTGCTTCCGAGCCATTGCCGAATGCTTCTCGAAGCCATTGTCGTCATCACCTACATCAACAAACTCATCACCAAGTTCAAAAACAAAAAAACAAAAAAAAACCTAAATCCTAAAAGTTACGAGATTTCACTTAGACCCGTCAACATCCCCCCAAGTCTACTAAACCCATTAATCCAGGAAAATCCGAGATTCAAATTACTCCATGATTAAACCCACATACGTGCAACCATAAGAGGGGGAGCATACGGAAAATCGAGGGAGAAATATGCAAGAGACTCGAGAAAATACAGAGGAAACCGAAAAAAAGAGGAATCAAAGGAGAACAAGACAAATTCGAAAACACAAAAGAGAAAAAAACAAGAAAAATAGAGAAGGGTCTTACCTTAGTCGAAGTAACGTCGGGAACGCCAAAGGTCACCAGTTTCTCGGTTTCTTTTTCGAAAGGTAATTCCTAGATCTACAAGTCTAGGGCGGTTTTTAGGTGAAGTGGGTTTGAGTTTTGAATAGAGGGGACTGAGGGGAATGATTTGGACTAACCTGCTCTCTCTCCAGTCGCTGGTGCCGCGCTCTGCCGTATCTTTTCTTCCCCGATGAGGGGATTTGAGAGAGTTTACAGAACTCTCTCTCCTCTGGTTTTTGAGGTGAGAACAAATGAGGGGAAAAAGAGAGGAAAAACCTTATTTTAGGTTTAAATAGTTAAACCGAAACGGTGCCGTTTTGGTGCCAATTCATTTTTATGTTTCTCGTTTAGGGAATAATAATAATTTTAGTCCATGTGCTTTGTAACTTTACTTTCCAACCCTTAAATGAAGTTATGTTTGTTTCATTTTGAACATTTATTTTTCAATACTTGTATTTGAGTCATGTTTTACTTATGTTGTTATTTTTGCTAATATTTAATTTTGGTCATAATATTTATAATTATTTTATTTTAGTCACTACTGGATATTTGGTTTAATTATTGTTTGATCCTTTTATGTTTCTGTTTATTTCATTTAAGTCCTTTATATTGTCTATGTGTTATTTCATTTTTAGTATCTATGTTATTTACTATTTGAAGTCTAGGTTCTAATTTATTTGTTTTAACTAGTTTTGTCCGTTAAATTTATGTTTTTGCCATTTTAGTTCTTTAACCTTTTGTTTTTCCTATTTTGATCATTTACATTTTTATTTACTCTATTTATTTATTATATATATATATATATATATTTTATTTTCTTCTAATTTTAATATTTTTTATTTCTTTTTACATTGTTTTTTATATATATTTTTTGTTTTTTACACTCTTTTATTTTTTTAAAGACTGAACATTTTTCTTCATTTTTATTTTTGTTTTTTTCTTCTTCTTAACATTTTTTTATTGTTATTTTCTCAATTTATTTATTTAGTTTTTCCCTCTCTTTGATTTTTTTAATAATTATTTTTCCATCTAACATATTTTAAACTTTTTTTAGTAGTAATTTTAATCGATCAAAGGTAAGTAATTTAAATTGAGTTTTTTTAATTTTAATTTTGATTTTAATTTTCGCAATTAAGACAACCGACAAATTAAATGGTACTGAAAGGGCAGTTCAAGGGTGCTAATCCTTCATTTATTGTAACCGACTCCCGAACCCAACACATTTTTGGTAAATTACAGATCAGGAAAAATGGTGTCCGATCTACCTAAATGTTTTTAAAATGATTGGTGGCAACTCTAACATTTTTTTCTAGTTAAAACCTAATTTCGGGCCCACCTGAAAGACGACAGCGAGTTGTAGACACTTATTTTCGTCCGACCCCATTATATAATATGCTAACTATATTATATAATATAAACATTTTTTATTATTATATATACGTATATTATATTACATTATACATATTATTATTATTATAATGTTTTTATTGGTTTGATTTTCTGACAGGCCCAAGACCAACACTCAAACCCAATCCAGTACAAGTTGCCCAACCCAGTTACAAGC